ATGGTGTAATAACTTCAATACAAACGGTGGATTGCAATCTTACACATTTGGTCCTTAATTCAACTACAAATGTTGGCATGTCATATGTTAGCACATATGTTGTTGGTTCACAAAATATATGTTAATTTTCAGGGACAAAAAATATAAAATAAAATTACATATTTGATTTAAACAAATATCTAAGCACATATATGGTAATCGAGAATGTATTTTAAAGGATAACCCAAAGTTTTTTTTTTTTGTTTACAACATACAAACTAATCAAGAAAAAGGTAAAAGCAATAATTCTTACTCCTTTTGCAATTATAATAAAATATTAAAGATTAACTTACTCTTTTTTAAGAGTGGAGACTGGAGAACCAATTAACTGCAATAATTCTTCATTATTTTTAAGAGTGGAGACTGGAGAAACAATTAATTTTCCTATCATTTTTTTTATAAAAGAATGATAGAAAAATATATTATTTATAAAATATTTCTTACCTCTGCAAAAAATTCATTATATATATTGTTCTTAATTACATGTAGCTCCCTAAACTATCATTAATTTTTTTCATTAAATTATATTAGATTTAATAAATTAACTTGTAATTTTTTCTCTCCCTCTCTCTCTCTATATTTTAATTCTTTTTTTATCAACATTTTATGTACATGATAGGCATATTCTCACTGCATTTACAGAGTCAAACATGGCCCATATTCTTTTCTTTTCTTTCCTGCATGCTTGTATGAATGAATGAATGTACACATTGATTTGTAATCGAAAGGTTACATCTTTTTCTTCCATCTTTTTCCCCTTTCCACGACTACAAAAATCTGAGTTATGATTAAGGATCAACAAGAACTTAATGTTGTGTCATACTTCTTAATCTTGGTTTTGCATGTCCTAATTAATGTCTCGACATCCTTAAGCACTCTCAATTGTAAAATTCCATTTTCATCATGTCTAATTACTTATGGTGTCCACATAATATAGTTAACACTGGCGACGACAGTATTTGAAAGTTATTTTTGAGATGTTAATCGATATCTCATCTGTGATATTTTAATTCCTCATTAGATTCTGTAAGTGATACGTTATGCTAGTTAGAGCTCTTAAAATGGACAAATGAACCAAGTCAGATCCAAATTGGCTAGGGTTGGTCAAGTGCCCCCATCAAGTTCGGAATAGTAAAATTTTCTTTGGGACCAGACTAGACTAGCTAGTCTGATTCGATTTGAACTGTTCAAGTATGTATATATATGAACTGAAAAATAAAACGAAAATTCCCTAGACTATTTTTCCTAGTTCACTCTTAATATATTTTTCTTTTGAAAAGAAAAAACGAAGATAAAATATAGTACATATTTAGGAGGGGACCAAACTTTCTGTCTTGATATTTGAATCAAGGCACGACCTTGATTTAACAATTGTATTTACATATACATGATGTTGTGAAATATGATTGTGCTAGAATTTCTTCAATCAAATAAAAAAAAATTCTCACTCTTTTTTTGACACCACCTGTGTAAACCATTATGCAATTTCATTATGTACAAATAGCATTAATTTTTATTTAAAGGAAGAGCCATTAAGCTTAGGAGGTGGGCACAGGTCAAGTTGAGTCATGTTCAATTCCAACTCAACAACCTAATCGGACAGTTCAGATTGAGTGAGATTTCAATTCAAAATTGAACCAACAAGGTGAATAAATCGACTCAAATTAACCTGAATCGATCTAGATAGGCTTGGTTAGTCGAGTTCAAGGGAAATTTTTCTCTTGAAAAATATTATTATTATTTTTTAAACTCGACCCCTTAAATTGAGGTTTTCGAGTTGGTCCAATCCAACCCAAAATAAAACCAAAATCCCTTCAAACCAATCCAAACCAATCTGAGTTTTGATTCGATTTGATGTTTTAGGTCGATTAGGCGGGTAATTTGTCCACCCCTAATTAAGCGCTCTCTCTTTCAAGTTTGTTTTTATTTTATTTTAAACATGAAGCATAATGTACAGTAAATTTGGAGCATGTACGATAATTTGCTTTGAGTAATAATAATGTTTGGTGGGAGGTGAAATAAGTGAAATGAGGGATGGGGCGCAAGATTCTGTCGTGCATGCTAAATCTAATTTTAGCTGTCAGCCATGTACTTGTGTGACCCAAAGAGGATGAAAATATGCAGATGCATATAATCAGGTTTACACCCTGTATTGGTCAGGGTGGTTTCCGACACCCCTTCTCTTTCCCACCGATACCCTTTCAATTTTCTTACAAACAAACTTCATCATTTTCATTTCCTTGAGTACTAAAAATGTCCTTTTTTTTTCTTATTAATTTGAGCCTATCGAGACCTCCGCGAGTCATCGCATTTCTAATGGGTTTTATTCATTGACGTAGATCTTCACCGAAATGACAAAATTTCGCATCGTTGAGTTCCTATTTGAGTGGTCGAGTTCACAAGGATGAGAGTTTGAGAATGAGATCATATTTGAAACATTTTTGTTCTTGGATGGAAATAACTTTTACCCAAATTTGATATTGCCTAATTATATACGAACTAAAGTTATAAGTTATATTTTATTTTGTTTACCTTATGTGAATTGGAATAAAAGTCATTCCATCTCGTTGTAATTATAAATTGACTGAATAAATAATGAGTCGCATTGTGAGAACTTTCTATAGATTACTAATGCACGAGATTATCAATACCATAATACCATAAAAATTAAAGGTTTTATTTTGAATCAACTCAGATACCGTAAGAGAAAACGAGCTACGTTTCTAACAAATTAAAAAGAAGGTTTTACGAAGTCTTGGATGGAAAATGACTATTCTACCCATGTAAGTAATACCAAACACCACCTATCTCTTGTGGAATCAACTCCTCAATCGTAATTTTCACTTTATAGAATTGGTGTTAGATATATAGAAATTAAAGTTACATCTAAACTCGATAAAGATTATATTTTGAAAAGCAATTTTACAAGAAGAGGAATCAACTTTACACTATATTTTGATAGATTATAGAATGATGGTGGTCTGAATTGAGAGGGGGGACACAATGTCTGTTAAAGTAATGCATTTGATATTAGAGCAACCCTCCCGGAGTGGTTTCTTAGTGGAAACACTTAATTAAGTACCTTAAACTAACATCATTAATTTAATCTCCCCGTGATACAAACATGTTCAAAAATAATTTCTTAGTTTCAAAAGAAATTTTTGATTTTTCAAATGTCGTTCCGAATGAAATCTAAGCTCTCGTTAACGTCTATAGAGCATTACATATTGAAAGCCTTTTTGGTTTATATAAAAATCAAATTTTTTTGTAGATTTTGATAAAAGTTGAATGAATGTGTAATTGAAAAGTTATGACTGATTATAATTAATTGTTGATTTTGATTTAAATTTTAATCTATTTTAAGCTGAATTAAAAAGAGGCTAAATATATCGATTGTGCATAAAAACGGGGAGAGAAAAAGAATGCATTCTTTCGTGTTGGCTGCTACTTTTTTACATTGTGATCCTTATTGTTCCTTTTCATTAATGGTGGACCCTTGTCCATGAATGCTTTCATTTCTTATTATAAGAATATAACGCCAGATATAGGTATATATTTTTATTAAATTTTTGGTATTAATTTTATGTTTTCTCATATTCAAATACAAATGTTTGACTGGATCATAAGCCATGAAATGAATAACCATATCCCTTCACGGGAGCAATATATGCTAATATATCAAAATTGACTAGATACCAAATGATCCGGCCTCTAACTTCAATTTCTTATATATTAATACTTGAGGTGTGTGATCATATTTATTATGTTGAATTTGACGAAATTATATATATAAAAAAAGCGCGTACGTAATGAAATTTATGTATTGGCATATCCTGCGTTCCAAACATGCTGTATTCGGGTAATTGTAGCATTAATGCAAAACGGAGAATTAATATTTAATAGTTTGTTTAAAGAGTAATGATGCCATATGATGTGTCTAATGAGAACGAGTAAACTTTATCATATGAATTAAGTCTAATCTATTGTGATTGACAATAGAGTAACTATAATGATTCAAGCTTATGTTTAAGTCGTTGATTCATACATATTATCTATTTTGAAAAAAATAAAAAACACGTGCCCATCTTATCATTCACGGACGTCCCTCAAGATTTGAATCGTTGACCTCTATCGTATGAGAGATTTAAGTTGAATAATTTTTAACGATCTGAACCTATGCCCAATGCAAACAGTACTTAAACTAAAGACTTGGAGCACATGCTAGGGTCATTATAGCAACTATAAATTTTATGATAATACTACATTTACAAATACTAAAATAAATTTACAATCAAATTTTCTTTCAATAGGCACGGCCATATAAAGAAAAAATTAGCTTTTATGAATGCCAAAATTATAAGAAATTGTGAACTAAAGTATAGTATATGAAGTGTAATTCTTTCTCAAATGTTTTGCAATCCTTTTGAAGTAAAATTATAACCTCCAATTGATAAAAATTAATAATAAATATTGCAAATTTGAATGGGGTGAGTGACTTTGATGGGGAGCAGAGGACGCATGGTGTACCCACCCACCTTCCACCCCTCGTGCGCATGGCGGCTCACCACCACCCTGACCCTTGTCCTCAATTATCATCATTAATGGCATGCTCCCGAATTATATATAAATACATGTAAAATACACACATACACACAGTGTGCGTGTGTATGTCCTCTTTTTCTTTCGGTAGTGTGATGGGGGGTTGTCTTGTCAGCCAAGAGGGGGTGGAGGAAGAGGGTGGGGTAGGGTAGGGTGTGGGGTACAGGAATAGAGAAGAATGTGGGAGACAACCAAAAACATTTGAAGATAAACAGTTGATTCAAATGTCCTTTGTGGGCCTATTGTAGGGTCATACCTTCAACTCATTAAACTTGCTTGTAACTATATTTATATCACCTTAAACTCTACCCTAACATCATCAAAACTCGAGCACTCTTCTTCTCTCTATTTACAATTCTGTAATGGCGGATACTGGTAATGGTGCAGTTGCTGCAAGAAGCATATGTGGAATCCCAGAAAAGTTTCAACTACACTTGGCCATGTTGGCCTTGCAATTTGGATATGCAGGTTTCCATGTGGTTTCAAGATTTGCTCTTAACATGGGAATCAGCAAAATCGTGTTCCCAGTTTATAGAAACATTCTTGCCTTGCTTCTTCTCTTGCCCTTTGCCTATTTTCTTGAGAAGTATGTCACTAAATATTTCAATTCATATATCCTGAATTTCTTCGGATAAAAATAATTTTATAACTATCTTTTTTCCTGGTTTGATCACTCAGGAAAGAGAGGCCTCCTCTTACTTGGAACTTCGTACTTCAATTCTTCCTCCTCGCAATTGTTGGGTATGATATTTATTACAATCACATGAGTTTGATATCGATAATTGGACAGTACCAAACAAAAATAACTTCTTTTTTCTTGTTTAACTCATCGGTAGTGTAATAATTAAGAAACTAATCGAGTGATTATGGAAAAAAAAAATGACAGGATCACTGCAAATCAAGGATTCTACTTACTGGGATTGGAAAACACATCGCCAACTTTTGCTTCTGCAATTCAAAATTCTGTGCCAGCCATTACATTCCTTATGGCTGTATTACTCAGGCAAGCTAAGAATAACTGTATCTAATATGCATACATATACAGTATAAAGATTACAGAACTTTTTTTTACTTGTTCTTTCCATGAACAACATTTTCAGGATCGAAAAAGTAAGATTGGATCGAAAAGATGGAATTTCAAAGGTTGCCGGGACAATTCTCTGTGTAGCAGGAGCTTCTGTAATTACACTTTACAAAGGTCCAACAATATACAGCCCTGCTCCACCACTGCAAAGTGCTTCCCCAATGTTTCTTGCCCTGGGCGATGCCAAGGGCAAGAACTGGACACTGGGCTGCATTTTCTTGATTGGCCATTGCCTATCTTGGTCCGCCTGGCTTGTGCTCCAGGCACCGGTTCTCAAGAAATACCCTGCCCGGCTCTCGTTTACTTCATACCAGTGTTTCTTTGGAGTTATACAGTTTCTTGTGATTGCTGCATTTATGGAGAGAGATGCTCAAGCTTGGCTTATTCACTCTGGTGGAGAGCTTTTCAGTGTTTTCTATGCGGTAAATTACCCATTTTTTTTGTTGCAGATAATTTTTAATCATAAACGGAGACGTCTCACTAATCATTTAAAGTTTTACCCGAGGTGCCTCAAGATACAGTAAAAACTCAAGATTAGAAACAAAATTATCAATTTACAAAATTGAAAATCTATTCCTTTTTCACCTTAATAAGCTAGAAATTATTCGGTGATTCACATTTGTTTCTGTGAATGAAAATGACTTGAACCAAGCATAAATAAATGATTTGAAAGTCATGGAAGAAGAGTCTAAAGGCTCCATGCCAAGTGAAAGGGAAAATTTGTCCAGACCTTACACAACACAGTGGGGGCTAAAATCCCTCAAATTCAAGGGATATAATCCTTCTAAATCTTCGAGTATGTCACGTAGATATATGAGTAGTTGGGTGTGACTTGTAAGCGTGTGTTTGTTTGGGCATATGAAATGACAGCAAAACTAAACTGGGGTATGCATGAATGAATGAATTGGCAGGGAGTGGTGGCATCGGGGATCGCATTTGCTGTACAGATATGGTGCATTGATAGGGGTGGCCCCGTTTTCGTGGCGGTGTATCAGCCTGTTCAGACCCTCGTTGTCGCCATCATGGCCTCCGTTGCATTAGGAGAGGAGTTCTACTTGGGAGGGTAATACTTATTTTCTCTTCCTTTTCATTTCCCATTTGCCAATATTCTTTTTGTTGGATCTAACAAATTTGTGTAAAGTAAAATTTAGGTTTCATGACTTTGAAAAGGCAAAAACTGATTCTACGTTTAATAAACTATTTTTAAACATATTTGAATAAATTTCTGAAAGTTTCGTTATCTAACTAAAAGAACTTTTAGAAGAAGCTTCTTTATTAAACTTTTATACAAAAAACAACTGTAAAAAGTCTTGTCAAACGAACCTTACTATCTACTGCATATCAAACTTTGTAACGAGTCTTAATATTTATATTTATAAAACTATAGCACTTCTTACAAAATTTCAGTCTGCTTTCGTCATATACCTCTTTATCTTAACAAAAAAGAGCCAAGAAATGTTCATTATAAATAATCGAACATGACTAAAGATGAATTTCTTTCAATAAATGTTATCTTTTATCGAGTACCTAATTTTAAAATTTTATGTCATTCGGGGTACATGCAAAACTCCATTAATTTTTCTCGGGACCAAAATAATGAAACTTGTACATTGAAGGATGAAATTGTAAGTTTCATGAAGTATATGACTATTTGGACAATTTACATTTCTGACTAATCTGGTGGTCAAGCACTGAAAAAGAAGACTTATTTATGACTGTGGTGTACAGGATCATTGGAGCAGTACTGATCATATCAGGGTTGTACTTTGTGCTGTGGGGCAAAAACGAAGAAAAGAAATTTTTGCAGAGGGCAGCAATTCAGTCGCCCGCAGACCACGCCATCACAAGAGCACCAAGTCACGTCAGGACCTCAATCACTCAGCCACTACTGTCTCAGTCAACAGAAAATGTTTGACCACCAACGTAAAACTAATATTTGGAAGAAAAACAATCATGAATCCAATGCTTGATTGAGTGTGTATTTCAAGTTATTTCATTAGGGTTTTCTTTTTTTAATATTTGGTAGCTTTTTCTCTTTAGGAGAGTGGCTTAAAAAGGGGAGGAATGTGATGATTCTGATCTTTTGGGGTGGGGTTTAAAGCATGAAAATCCCATACGGTATGGTATGGTATTTTATATGTTAATTATACCATATTAATGGTTTGTTTAATTTATGGAAAAAAAATTAATGTGAAACCTTTTTTTTCTTATTACTAGTCAGACGCACGTGCAAGGCACATGTCGTAGTATAGTTGACTGATTTTTTATTATTTTTGAAAATATCACTAATTAAATCTTATTTAACAAAAATTCTTCAATAGAAAACCTTAAAATTACAGCGAAAAATAAATAAATAAACAAAAGCAAGTTAGAAACAAAAGAGGAAATTATTCATCATAAACAACCAATATAAATCATTCAAATTTAAAAAAACCCATACACTAACAAACTACCAAGATATTGTTGTTTCTTCTTTCTTCCTCAATTTTTTTGAAGTACAAACCTTTAGAGGCCTTGCATATCACATTTTCAGTTTTTTGAGGGTGAGTAGAAAAGGAAAATTAACGAATATGATTTTATGGGTTTAATAATTTAAGATAATTTTTTTATTTAAACTTAATTGAAAATATATTTATTATTATCACATTTTAAGTTTTTTTAAAAAAAATTTAAACAGATCCAAATGGATATTCATATCGTGAAATATCGAATCAAACGTTGTACGAAAAATGAAATTTGAAAAAAAGACATTGAAATGGGGTCGAGATTGGAAAAAAATAAACAATCGCGACTTTACGTTTCACAATTAATGTAAAATTATTTTTGATATTTAAAATTTATCGACCATATATTTATCATGGCCGCACTTCAACATTTTCAACAAATTTTAAATCGCTTAAAACGCGTATTTGCAACTTAAAATATTGAATCAAATGTAAAAAAAAAAAATTAAAAAAATCGGTTTAGACGACCTGGCCTAGCCGAGCCAGCGGCTCAGCTCGCGGCTTATGAACGGGGGCTAAGATTGAAAAGAAATATAAACAATCACGACTTTACGTTTCACAATTAATGTAAAATTATTTTTGATATTTAAGATTTATCGACCATATATTTATCATGGCCGCACTTCAACATTTTCAAAAAAATTTAAATCGTTTAAAACGCATATTTGTAACTTAAAATATTGAAGAAAAAAAATGACTTAGACGGCTTAAATGAGCCGAGCCGAGTCGAGCCAAAAAGCCATTCGACAAGGCTCGCAGCTTATGAACAGTAATGTGGAAGTCACTCTTTTATTTATGGTAGATGAGCCTCATGTTGATATTATTGCTAAAGATGGCAATTGCTGGTGGATTTGAATAAAGTCACTTGTATATCACATTTTTAATCATAGTGTACATCATCTTTGTTGGCAAGATTGATTGATGGAATTTTATTTTTTTTTAAATTGCCAACTGGTAGTTTGACATGTGACAGAGTGTACAACCTGGTGTATACGATGATGTACACTAAACATGTTTGAGTGGATTTTTACATAACATAATTTCCCGCTCTTTTGGTACATTGCTAATGGCTTGCACGACTGTTGTGAAACAAACAAAATACTAGAATTGCTCTGATACCACTTGTTGTGAAACAAACCACTTGATTGAGATATTGAAACTATATGGTAAATAATAATGAATATATGATCAAGCAAAAAAAATAATAAAGACATGAATATGGTAAATGAATTAAGAGATTTTATTGATTTAAAAATAATAGAGAAAATAGAAAATTACAATGAATCCTATAATTCTAGTAATCATATATCTCACATTATAAAATTGTATAAATGAGCCTAATATTTATAGGGAATATGTAGGGACGTCCAAACTCTCTAGTAGAGTTATTGATGAAGTATAATGTCAAAAAATCAAGTCCAAAACGAAGTAGGAATGAAAAAGAGGAAAAAGGAGCAGAACAGGTGCCCGAAAATAATTTTTTTTTACTCCAAGTTGTTTTCTCCATTTCGAACTCTTTTTCAAGTCCAATATCAATTTTCAACTCCCAATTGACTTCTAAAATAGAACATCAACTTCACATATGACTCCAATAGCATTCCAAATTGAATTCTTCTTGACATGCACTTCAATTACTTCAACACGAAATTTGAGCGACACCCAAATTCTAATAATGACTGTACGAAATGATAATTGGATGGGTCATTCAAGGACGGAGTTAGGGAAGACAAATTTTATTTTGCACCAGACTAACCAAAGAAGGAAATGATTTTTCATAAATCTTTCCTTTTTATGAATGAAAAAAAAAAAAAGAACTGGACTTGACAGCCAGGGACTGCCCCATATCTCCGATTCTAGGGTTATTATTTAGCCCTTGTTTGAGTCTCACTTTTTCATTAAAACGTATTGTTAAACAATTATTTGACCTCATTTCAATCATATATTATTCAATAAATTAATATTATACACAAATTCAAAATTTTTCCTTATATTTTAATCGCACATTCTCCATCATAACACTATTATAAAATGAGTTTTTTGGGAAAAAAAAAAAAGGGGGTTCAAACAATTTCTTAAATTTTGCATAATCTTGGTGTCAAATAAGTTTGAGGATATAAAAACAACAGAAACACCATAATTGCAAACTAAAGAGAAGTATGATTAGAAAGGTAGATAGCATATGTTGGAAGTCGTACTAACCACAACGAAAAAATGACCTATATGTAATTTGACAGTAACATAATGATATGAAATGTTTGGTGTGTTAAAATTGAAATAATTGTCACGTATATTTTATTCAATTCAGTCCCTTGGTCATTATAAAAAAAATTGAGAAAAAAATAATGTTTTGAATAGTGATTTTTTTAGAAGATGTGTAGTTAAAAAATAGAAAAAAAATTAAATTTATGTACAAAATATTTTATTACGTGAATACGTGGTCGAAATTGAATATGAAAAATAAAGAGTTTTCATTTCATGACGTCAAACAAATGTTCAATATATATATATATATATATATATATTAAAATGCCTTTAATAATTGTTATATACACAGTACGTCTCATCAAATCTAAATTTACAATGTACTTGTTAAGTGAAACTAAGATAATGTAGTCTTTATTATTATTATTATTATTATTACAATATACGTACGTTATCTAATTCGTTAACACACTCGTGTGGCTTTGATCACATAATTGATTAAGCTCCTATTTGATGAAAATTAAAATCAAGATTTTAACTAAAATCGAATTCAATAATTGATTTTAACCACACATTTTATGAGATTCACAAATTTTCAACAATCAATTTTATCATTTTCTATCAAAGTTTATTAAAAATCTGATTTTAACCCTTAAGGGTTAGATATCTGAATTTTAATGCGCGGCACGAGGGAACTAAAGTGGGATTAACAGACCCCAATGAAAATGATTAGAGTGTGTTAATCATTTTAAATCTCAAGTCACCGCATGCAAGATTTTAATTTAAATCAAATTTAATAATTGATTTTAACCACACATTTTATGAGATTTACAACTTTTCAACAATCAATTTTATCAATTTCTATCAAAATTTATTAAAAATCCTATTTTAATCTCTAAGGGTTACATATCTGAATTTTAATGCGCGGCACGAGGGAACTAAAGTGGGATTAACAGATCTCAATGAAAATGAATAGAGTGCGTTAATCATTTTAAATCTCAAGTCACCGCATCCAAGACTTAAAATTAAGAGCCTGTTTGTTTTTTATCCTCAAATTCTACAGTAAATCAATTCTCATTTTCAATCACACATTCTTCAATAAAATAATATTTTCCATCACATCAATAATTTTTTTTCTTTTTCAATCACATATTTCTCATCATATCACTATTCAAAAATCAATTTTTCCCCCAAAAATCCCTACCAAATAAACAATAAATCAAATTCAATAATTGATTTTAACCACATATTTTATGAGATTCACAACTTTTCAACAATCAATTTTATCAATTTCTATCAAAATTTATTAAAAATTTGATTTTAATCCCTAAGGGTTAGATATCTGAATTTTAATGCGGAGCACGAGGGAACTAAAGTGGGATTAACAGATCCCAACGAAAATGATTAGAGTGTGTTAATCATTTTAAATCTCAAGTCATCGCATCCAAGATTTTAATTTAATTTAAATTCAATAATTGATTTTAACAATATATTTTATGACATTCACAACTTTTCAACAATCAATTTTATCGATTTCTATCAAAATTTATTAAAAATTTAATTTTAATCCCCAAGGGTTAAATATCTGAATTTTAATGCGCGGCACGAGGGCACTAAAGTGGGATTAACAGATCCCAATGAAAATGATTAGTGTGTGTTAATCATTTTAAATCTCAAGTCACCGCATCTAATAAGATAGTGCTTTTACTTTTAATGATGTAATGCATTCCCTTGTCTCCTTTTCTGCCCCTCTGTTGTTCTTTAACTCGAGTGATGGAATTAGTAATAAATAAATACCATTTTTTTATTAAAAGAGACATTTTATTTTTCTTTAAAAATTATCTAAAGAGAGTAAATATCATATTTTTTTTAATTATCAAAGCATCGTCGAATTATAAGAGAGACGTGTAGACACGTATTATTCACCATGCTAAATTCAAGAACTCTCTGATAATGTCACAATGAGCTAAAAATCTATCAAAATTTCACAATGGTTAATATTAAATCAAGCCTCAAGAATAGCTGAGTTTGGCTTTGACATTAGACAGTGAGAATCGTATTAAAATATTTGGTTCTATTTTAAAAATTTGAGAATTTGGTTTTGACATTAAACGCCGGGAACTATATTGAACTATTTAGTTCTTTGTCAAAAATATTGGATTTTTTTTTTTTAACATTAGAACGGGATCAAACAAGATAGTTCAATTCG